AGGGGGGCGCTGAGGGGCCGTGAGGGGAGTGCGGGCTCCGGCGGGAAGCGGTTCCTCCGGGGCGGCCGCTCCCCCCCAAAAAGCCCTCCTGGTGTTGCCGGTGCTCGGTCCGTTGCCTTCCCGCTCGGGTTGGCACATAATTTAACCGGTTTGGGGTGGGTTTTGGGTTGGTTTTTTTTTTTGTTGTTGTTGTTTCATTTTGTTTTCTGGGACCGTCCATCGTTTGTCAGTCCTTCTGTGGTACAGAGTCTGAACATTAAAGTATTAATGCCTCCAAAGTGCTTCCCTCTTAGTCATGCAGGGGTTTGCTTAAAATACCCCAAATAAAAATGGGTTTGCAACCATTTTTTTTTTTTTTGTGATAAATTTCTTTCAAGATGGTTATAGATGGAAAGCTGCAGGTGGGGGTTTTGTCCTGTTCTCTCCACAGAAGTTCAGAAACTTTTTGGACGACGACAGGCATGTTCCCACAGGAATTCATTATTGGTTTTCCTAAATGCGTAAAAATCAGCAAAGTCGCAATCCAGTGTTACTTGGGTAAGGCTTAATGTATTGCAGTATGTAATAGGGACTGTGTTAAAGTGTGTGCTTGCGCCTATGTAAATTCTCACAGCAGTGTCACATTCTGTAAGTAGTCACTTATAAAGCTGAATTTAATTCATAGAGCTTCATTTAACTGAACAAAGCACTTGTCCTTCACGTTCAAAGTTTTTCATAAATAAAAAGATGGAAAATCCACCCACCTGCACTGATTTTTGTCCTTAAAACACCTTGTATTTTGAGCTTATAATTAACTTCTGTTGCACAGTGATGGCGGTTCTAATTTAAAGGACAGGACTACAATACTTACTCTTTTAATGATTTATTTTGAATATTGTTTTTAATAGTTTAGTAGGACAGACCTCTCTTAGTCTTACTTTTTAAAATAATGTGAAGGAAAATCTGAGTTCTAAACTAGAAAGGTCTCTTATGGGGTCAGAGCATGGAGACAGCAGCTTGACCATTAACAGAGGCTGTGCAAAAGACATGAAAACTTGTCATTGTTTGTCCAACCTTCAACATGAGAATGTTGGTTTTATTACAGTTCAGCCCCATAAGTTAGAAAAAGAATGATTAGTTAGTGCTTTTAAAGTGCTTTGTAGATGAAAAGTGATGCAATAAATATCATCATCAATGCATCAGGATTCGTATTGATATTTTAAATGTATATATATATTTTAGTGCGGACCTTGAGGATTGAAAAAAGTGTATCTAAAGACCCAGTAGGTTTTGAAGAGTGCATTGAAAAAGGTAAGATTTTGACTATAACCGTGAAGCGGTGGGGATTTTGTGGGAATAATGTTGATCTTTTTCAGTGAGTCATTTTAACCCCATGTCTATTTGTTGAGTAGTCAAGTGTGGCTTGATGATTGTTTTATTAGGACATTAATGTAATAGTCACATTTGAATGAAGTTTATGAACACTGCTGGTCTCTGTAGCAGTTTGGAGATGTAAAATGCTGTATAAGGGCTAAAAGCACTGCTTGTGCATTTGCTTTTATGTTCCAAAAATTAAAAACATATTTACATAGTATAATAGAGTGCCATTTCATGCATTGGTTGGGTTTGTGTTTTGGGGTTTTCTTAATGGGTGACATTTTATAAAACAGTGTAATGAGTGGGATATATACACTGGGATATTGCAAAAAATATTTGTTCTCTTAAGTCACCTTGTAAAACAAAACCAAACAAAAAATACCGCCCCCCCAAAAAAACCCCAGGCAATTTCTGTATGCAGTGTAAGTTCATAGTCCTTAAACTCTCTTGAAAACTTTTCACAGCATTACATGTTATTCTTCATTATATGCTTTAAAATATATTTTCTAGATTTGCAACACACAGAAGGACAGCTTCAAATGGAAGAATTTCCAGTGAGTATTTACAGTGTACATCTCTACTGGTTCATGAAATGGGATGTCCAGACTAACAAGGGAGAAACCATGAAAATCCAAAACATGTCTTTATTTACAATTACTGCTAAGTTGATGTTAGATACAGGAATTTGTAGATCATGGTATGAAATTGCACTTCCTGACTGCTCCTTTGTAGATTACGGTATGAAATTACACCTGCCTACTGCTTGTAACTCTGTGAAGGAGCTCTTTCTAGAAGTGTGCCCATCTTTCCTCCCTCAGTTGTTGCCTTAAAGACTGCACTAATCGGGAGGAATGGGACTTTTTTGAATTGCTGTCATCTAAAGAAGCTCTGAAGCTGGCTAGATGCATTAAAAGAGCTTGATTTATGTGTAATTTGAAAACAGACAGAGAAATAACTAGATCCTTCTGTCTAACAAACTTCTGCAAATGTTTGATAGTGATATTATTACGGAAAATGCAATAACATTTTTTTTCCTTCTACAGCTTCCTGATTTCCAAGCAACTTACTTGCGTTTCATCATCAAATCTGCCTTTGATCATTTTGTATCAGTGCACCGGGTGATGGCAGAGGGCACTGCAGAAAACACTTAAGTCCAGCTGAAATTTGTGCCTCAGTTTTGTTTCTTTTTTTTTTTAATAAAGAAGTTACATTTTGATACCTGTAGTGCACATAATATTTATTACTAAAACCTTGTATTAAAGTGTTTTTTGAAGGTATGGATGTAGTATGTATTCCGCACCGGTTTAATGTATGGAATAGAATAGAATCATTTAGGTTGCAAAAGACCTTTAAGATCGAGTCCAACCGCAATGCAGTATTCTTGTTGATAGTAACAGCTTTCTCGTTTTATAACCTAGACTGTTATCCTAGAACATTTGAACATAACTGAGTCCGTTTAAATTAGTATGTTAATATACAAAAAAGTGCGAAGTATTTAACTAGGAGTTATTACTTCCTACTGTCAAACGAGCCCTTCAAAAGTTCTTAAATTGGTAACTTTCTCATCAACTCAAATGGTTCAAGATTAGTAGGCTGAATACAAAATCTGCTAATGCTTAGAAATAACCCGGGGGGAAAGGGGCAGGACAGGGGGGGAAATAATCTGAAGCCACATTAAGTGCTCTGATAGATTTTTAATAATTGCAGATCAATCCCTTGTTTCTATAAATATTTTCTACAATCAGGTCACAGCCCTCTGTGCTTTATGCTATGACCGTCATAACAAATATTAATAGAAACAAATGCTGACGGAGATTGTCTTATTCAGAAGCCTTCTGAAGTCAGTGAAAGTGAACATTTAGGAAAATTTCATGTATACAAGAGAAAGATAGTAATATGAAATCAGTTGTTTTGCATGCCAGTCAACTTTTGCAAATGTCACCACCCCTGAAGTTTGTCCTGCAGGGTATTCCTTACAAATGTAAACATTGGTGTCCAGTCCTGACAGCTCAGTGGAGCCAACTACTATTCATTGCTTTAAGTGTAGTAAGATACTACAGTGCAGTAGTTGGAGTTGTTGTGATGAGACTTGAAAACCTCTAGACAAACACATAATGAACTATATTACAGGTGTTCTTTAGATTCTTGTTGTCACTGTTGTTATTTTTAAATTCTTTTTTTTCTTCTTACACTTAGTTCTATGAAAACTTATTAATTGAGCTTTTTTATCCAGATAGCCTTTACTCTGAAGCCCTTTTTCTATTTCAGTTTTTCCAGGACGGCGCGTATTTCTTGGGGGTGATAATTCCAAGGCCCCACTCCTCCCTGCAAAGGCAATAAAATTACAAAGTGATGCTCAAGTAGAGAAAGCAGCAGTCCTTTTCGCGCGCAGCAGTTGCACCAGAAGCGTGGGCAGGTGTGCTTGAGCTTCCTTTGCATGGCAGCCATCGCGTGGGAGATGGTGCACGCGCAGGTTACACCCTGCTGTGTAACTGGGACAGGGCCAACATCTGGATCCTGGAGCTGGAAAGCGTTCCTGGATCTCACAGCTTAGATGTACTTAGGTTTCCTAATGAGCCAAAAGATAAATATTTGAGCAGGACTGAGGTATACATCAAATATGTACTTTATGAAGGCCCAGACTGGTTTTGCTGCAAGTCCTTTTCTTTCCACTTACAGTGAATTGTGAAATTACTAGTTCTGAAACAGAATGAAATACTGAGTTAAATGTAAAAATTCTCAAATTATTTTGAAATTTAAAAATCCCAATATATTGTGCTCATTATTATTGTTGATATTTTTTACCTTGTAGATGACCTTCCCTCTTTGAAGTATGTACAGTCGTTCTGGCAATGCAGCGTATTTTGAACTGCTCAGGTTTTCCATAGTGTCTAAAACCACTGGACATAAAGGATTATTTTTCTGAAGAAATTGTGCTGCAATTTTTCGATCTTCAAGGCTTCTGTGATTTTTAATAACAATATTGTTTTTGAAAGCCCATCCATCTAAAACAAATGAGAAAGGGATTTAGCAAGGAACATTCTGAATAGGTGCTAAGGGTGGAGGCCAGGCTGGATGGGGCTTTGAGCAACCTGGTCTAGTGGAAGGCGTCCCTGGCCATGGCAGGGGGGTTGGAACGAGATGAGCTTTAAGGTCCCTTTCAACTCTCACCATTCTATGATTCTATGTACTGTGTGTAATACCCCAAAACTGTGTTAAAATAGTACTGCAATTTACTCCTGACACCAAAACTCGCCATTGAAGTGAAAGCTTTGCCCCCCCCACCTCTGAATATGAGCGCTACAGCTTTTCAAGTAAATAGTCCTATGGTCTTTTTTTTTTTTTCCCCCTTTTATTTGGGCAAGCTATATTTTCCTCTTGCCCTGGACTCAGAAATATTTGATGTATTTTCCTACGTAAGTCAACATTAGAGAGATATCAGGTGGGGAGTTCTATCCTATTTAGGTAAGGTTTGTCAAAATTATTGGCACAGAGGAGGAGATTTTAAAATGGTAAGTAGCGGTGCCAACTGATACCCATTCATTTAGCACAGTCTCAACAATCGTACTGTTCATTCTGCCTGATTCTGCTTATTGAGCCTATAAAACAAAATTGCAGATCTGTGAGAAGTGAAACATACTTGAGCCAGGGCACACCTTCCTCTTTCAGAAATACACACACACAGATCTGCACGCAACCCTTCCTAGTAAAGCAGAAACTAGTAGAAGTTTTTGATGACTGAGTTATCTTTTTCTCAACTATTGAAAGTGAGGTATTGTTAGAAAACTTGAAAACTGTAAATGTTACGTTTTAGAAAACCACCTTAACCCTGGGATAAAATCAGTGCCAATGTGTTACTTAGAGTCTGGTGTAGATAAAAAAGCGTGTACAGTTTGCTGAATTTTTCAAATGGAGAGTATTAAGAGTTTGCCTCCTGTTCTTGAGACATGTTAAACTGATTTTATTTTTTTTTAACATGTAACACATACTGGCATCGTATACTTAAACCTTTGTTCTCTTAAATGTTTTTCGTTGTTTTTTGTTTTTCTTTTTAAATATCAGAAGGAGCTGTACTAACGCTGAGGGGAAGCGTAGTGAAGATAGTACTCATCTTCACAGAGATGACTGCCTTCAGCCAGAGTACCTCAGTGTAAAGTCAGATGTGTGAGTAAAACTTAGGAGAATTAGGGACACAAATTGGTGCCGAAATTTGGTGTTGCCACTTTTGATTTGAGAGAGGTTTATTTCCCGTTTGCAGTTCCCTCCTTTGCTAAAATACTTCTCTTCCTAAAGGGAACGATGCGTCTGAAGTTTTGGTAGGCATTACTGTGATATTTGTACTGTACCTACTGCATGAGCTTCTTCGATGTAGATGATAAGGAAATCTGCTATTGAGCTGAAATCTTTGATGAGCTTGTTGAACTCATCAAATTTTAACATAAACGAAGGTCAGGTGCAACTTCCAAAATTCAGGATTAAAGGTCGGTTATCTGGAAAAAAAACAGGACAGTTTGTGGTTAAATCGGTGTTGGGAGGAAGGACAGAATTAAATACATACACTGAATTGAGCCTCTGCCGCAGAGTTTCCTGGGCAACAGTAGCGAAGTCACTTACCCCATAACTTTCTTCTTAGGACATTAAAATTGGCAGCAGAATATCTGTGTCTATGCAAAGCAGGCACAGAGGTGCTGTCTTTTTCCCTTGCCCGGCTCTAAGCTGAGCCAAGAGCAAGGAGCTCAACTGAGGGGGACCCTTTCCTTGGCAAAAGCAGGAGGCACTGTCCGGTCCCATGGCTTCCCTCACATCCTCATCAGAAAAGCCAGTGCTCCAGTTACCAACATGTTGGGATAGGGAACTGGTCTAAAATGGATGTAGAGCGTGCAGCATGGCACAGGCTCCCCAAGGTCCTTCATACGAAGGAACTTCAAAAATATTAGCCATGATCATCTGCAAGGTTCTTCAAAGGACATCGGTTCAGGGGTGGACGTGTCAGCACAGAGTCCCGATGCCTTTTAATGAACCCAGTGGCTGTGTAGTGATTTTTTTCAGAGGTGTCAGTTCCAGCTGAGCTGAGCGGAAGCTGCACTTTTCAGTCCTGCCTCACGGGCTTTCATGCTTTCAGTGTATTTCTGCAATTTCCTGTCCAAACAGGACTGGGGTTATATATTATTATTTATTAAACTAGTGTTACACAAGCCACTGGCAAAAGTGTTTATGCAGTTGCTTACAAATTAACAGGGTATGTGCCCACAGGTGTTAGCATCTGTTTGCAAGGCCTCAATTTAAGGGAACTTGAGAGAGATTTTTAAGCACGTCTTTTAGTCTATGGTTATTCTAAATTCTCTGAAATTTGTTCAAGATCTTCCTTCTTGCTGGGCTTAAATTCAAAGAGCGCTGTTAGCATAGATCCACATCCTAAAGTATCTAATAGAGGGGATACCTTCCTGTAGATATTGTCTGTCTCTTTTCCAAATTTGCATCCTATTTTCTATAGAAAAAAAAAAATAAATTAGAAAAGCAGAGTTAGAGAATGGTGTAATCCCTCCCATGGGGATTGAGACTGCAGCTTAATGATTAATTCCACATTCTACAGACAACTCTGCGGGAGGCAGTGGACAAAGTACAAAGCAACTTCTTTTTCTTCTGGTTCATTTCTAGCCACTTCGAATCTGGAAAAAACCCACCGTGTGCTTTCTAGGCTTTGTGCTGGCAAAGGGCGCTGGTGTGGGGCTTTCTGTACGTACAGGGAATGACAGCCAAGAGTCGTGAATCACCGCACACGGTTCCGATTCTGGGTCTTCTCTCCCTAAAATCAATTACTCTCTTGGCTTTCAGCGAAGAGGTATTTCCAGGCAGAGCCAGCTTTTGCAAGAGGTTCATCAGCTTACTGGCATGGAGGGATGTCGTAGCCAGGACGATAAACACGGGTTATTTTTGAAAATTGGGAGGCAGACAGCTGGAGTGGATGTGCTGCTCCTTTCCCGTCCAGTGAATTCTGCTCTGCCATGCCACAAGTTCTCGCGCCAGCTGCCCATCCCTGTTCCCTCAGCAGCCTCTTCTCGTTTCTCGTCTCGGCAAACCAAACCCACCTACATGGCCCGTTTACTCACCTTGCATGAAATCCAAGAGGTCACGAACTTCACCGTTGAAA